ATAAATATCACCAAGAAGAAAATTAACAGCTTCAATCATCTCATCACACCTCTAGTAAGTAAATCTAGCATATTTACCTTTCTCATTAGAGAAGAAGGCTTAAAATGAGTTGCAGCAAATATATTTGCATTCAGATTTACCAAACGACCAGTTATTAAATAGGAAAACTTTTGTTTGATAAGATTGTGTAGAAGTGTAGTGTAAAGAGTTGAAAAGTCAAAACTGTCAACAGAATCAAAAGGACCATCAAAAGCGCGTAATTTGTCTAAAACATCCAAAGAATTTTGTACGCTCCAAAAATAGTTAATTCCACTATTTTCATATATCTGATCTTTAATCATCGTTTTCATCGGAATTCATGCAATACAAATTCAAATTGCAAGATAAAATTTTAAACTGTCAATTCACAAACAGCTGCTGAACGGTAGATTTAAAAATCGCAAAGAATGTCGAATCAATATAACTAAGCTCTATAAAAAGAGGAGAGTTTGGGAAGATGAGACATGTTTAATGTAGTTTACAACAGTTACTGATGAATTATCATTGAGTACCGCTGAAGTCGACGATTGAGACAGTCTTGACTTTGCTTTAAGATGTCAACTATTTATCCATCATTGAATATTTCAAGCAAGTGCCACGATGAAAAACAGCAATACAGATCTTTATCTATGCCTATCCATTCCCATCTTTCAGGAACCTCGGTGGCAGGGTGGTCTGAGTAGTTCATCTACAGTATCATTATCCCTGTCAAAACTAAGGTTGTGTGTTCGAAACCCACATTTGACAAGTGCATTCGACTCAGAGATTGCCAGTTTTCCTGCCGAAGGTCGGTGGTTCTCTCCAGGCACTTCAGCTTTCTCCATCAATAAAAACTATATATCATAAATGTTTTTTTGTTAAACTTCGGCGGAACATGTTTCACGCATACTTAGGATAATCACAAATTATGAAATAGATAAATGATTGAACCATGAGGGTTGACAGGAAACTTTGCTTTATATCAAATCACCTACGGATCACCCGAACATGCTAAAATGGTGGCATTTTGCAAGTACGTCACCAAACGGAAGGAAAGACGGGAACAAATGTATTTCTTAAATTTGAAATAACAAGACATTTTAGTACAGAAATTCCACTTGTGATATCACTTTGATGTTATTAAAAAATATGCTGAAAATTGTTACCTAAAAACTAGACAAACCACGTCACATAATCATGTGCCTGTCCCGAGACTAGAATCTTGTTAAAGGTTGTCTTATGTCATATCTGAATGTATTTTGCTATATTGAAAATTTGGTGTTGATGACAGACCCGGTAATGTTTATGTATACTTAATAATAAATTTTATAGACTCTGGCCTACTTAGAGCTTGCCATATTGTATATTTAACTAACTACTGTTGAAGACTGTGTATTGCTCTCTACATGTCTTCATGTTATTTTTATCGTTGGATTACTGTCTTATTGGCGTATACCCCACATCTCAATTAATTCATATACCTGACCTAAAGTTACCGTATTACGCACAAAAACATTTTTAAAATAGACATGACGGAGAAACTTGACAATGAAATGTACAGACGACACACAGAGGACTCTTTTTAAAACAAGGGTTATATATTTATATATCATATTGTTGGATAAATTTATACCTTACTCTCGGCAAAGGTAGCATTTTTTATCTGAAAAATAATTAAACTAATGACTTTCGAAGTGATGTTTCAATATATTCAACATAGACATAATAACGACGAGGCTGAAAATTGAAGAAAATGTTATTTCTTAGAAAAAGGAACAAAGAAAACAACAGTGTAGACTATGATACTCAAATATGAAATTTATAAGAAATTTTTAGTAAAACTTAATTTAATCAGATTTAGACGTCAAAAGTATTGCGGAAACGTTACGTACATTACCGTACCTTTACGGACGTTTTGTGAATACGGCGTAAACGTTGCGAAGTAGATGCGGAATAAATCCGTAAACCATCCGTAAACTTTCCGCAACTGAAAATTTTACGGAACCTTACTCAGCTATCGTATCATTCAGGTAAAAAAATTCAAGTTTCCCGGCGTAACTGGCAAACATGTCGTTTTTCAACAACATATACGAAATGGGAGATTTGAAAACGTCTCGGTTGATACATTTGTTACAACAATAATCCCTCATAAATATCGAACGCAAATTTCTTCAAAACAATCATTATAAATACCATGCCACGTCCGGTCTGTGTTTATGTTTGATGTTTTTATCTGCTTTGTATCGATCTGATGAGTTAAGCCTTTTTCAACTCATTTTTATAGTTTGTTCTTATGTTGTGCTGTTACACCACTGTCCCAGGTTAGGGGAGGGTTGAGCGCTCACAAACATGGTTAACCCCGCCACATTCTTTATGTGCCTGTCCCAAGTCGGGAGCCTTTAGTTCAGTGGTTGTCGACTCGTTGGTTCATGACTGTCATATTTGTTTTCCGTAAATTGTTTTGTTATAAATTAGGCCGTTAGTTTTCTCAATAGAATGTTTTCATATTTTTCATGTCGGGGCCCTTTATAGCCGACTATACGGTATGGGTTTTCTCATTGTTGAAGGCCTTACGGTTGTCTATAATTGCTTACATCCAACTTTGGTGGATAGTTGTCTCATTGGCAATCATACCACATCTCCCTTTTTTATATTGTGTAGTTCACTCTGTTGCAGAGTCAGATTATTCTCTTATCCCTCAGCCTCTGGGTCAAATAAGCTATTCTCATCACTTGGCGTCTGTTGAACCTCGTCGTCGTCGTCATCCGTTGTTTGTTAACTTTTACCAAAATCTTCTTCTCTGAAACTACTGGGCCAGTCGGGACCAAACTTGTACACAATATTCTCCTTAGGATATCTAGTTTAAAATTGTGTCCGTTGGTCCCGCCAGACAACCAACATGCTGGACATGAAAACTGCTATAGGTGCAGATAATCTGACAAGGCTAAAATGTTCAGAATGTTGTCATCTACCTACTTTCCCTTTACAAAAATCTGTCAGACAATAGGAGTTTTTGCCTTAAGTGCCATTTTTTTCCCTTTTGCTTATAACAATGTATCTCGAAAAGTTCATTGACGTTTTTAGTTCTTTTGTGTTTTGGGCAAAAACTTTAGAAGATAGTCAGAAAATCTAAACAGCAAAAATAACCAGCAATTAAGACAAGAACAACACATATGCCAACAAAGCCAAAATAGTAAGTCCAATTCTCATAAGAGTTACTGCCTTTGAATAATAAATTTTACCAATTTTAGTGTTTTTGGCAACAAAAAAAAACAATAAAAAAATCATCAGCAATACAAGATAAGATTTATATTCTTATCTACAATTTTGTAGAGTAACCATTGTTGAAGATGCACATGGATCCAGGTTCAGTGACACAGGCTCTTTAGAGCCTCTTGTTTTATACTTTTGGTTATGATAGTGTTATTATTATTATTTTATTTTTTTTGGTTTTCTTGGTTTTCTATAAACTCTTGTTTGTAGGCCTGTAGTATTCATTTGTATTTTTCTATGATATACAGCAGGGACGATTACTATGAACTGCAGATTAACTATCCTAAGTGGTTACTGATCACAAACAAAAGTTATTAAGATTACAACACAGGCGGTATGTAGTATAGTGTCATCAGTTTATCTGACAGCGAAATTAAAATTTTCTTAATGACTTTTCTTATGTGATTGGAATTTTACATATATCAATCTGCTTCATTTTATGTTAGACTTTCTGTTATGAGCTGCGCACTATTGATTTGTCTGTTACAACCCAGGTGGTACCTCGCCGTTAAAACTGGTAGAACAAGTCGATGGTTAACATGATTTTGAAATAGTTATTGAAACATATTTGAAAATTTCTTTTGATGTTTTCATCAAGCTTATTCTATTCATTTCTGCCGTATCTAATGGTGTTCTTTAAATGAGAGTTCAATCTAAACGAAGTATTAATCCATTAGGTACTCATTTGGTCTGTTGTAGAATTGTAATGCAAGAGGAAGAAATCAAAATCTTGTTGAAAACTGTTATATTTATTCACGGAAGATAATGGAATAAAGAGGGCGGGGATAGTAAAAGCTTTTTGTATCATTTTCGTTTATGTTCGGTTGCATATCGCCCAGGATTGTGTGTGTGATTGACTTCCTTGATTTGAACTCGTTATGATGTCTCATACGAGGTCATTTCTATATTCCAAATTTTATCCTTATTGTTAGAAGATTATAGTTTGAGATTGTAATACCTTATATGATCAACATCTACTTGTGGAGATCTTCTCGACTAAGGTAGGGGTTCAAAAACTCGCCCTGTCAAATTGGTAGCATGTTTATAATTTGTAGCATTGGCTGTTGTTCTATAATTAGCAATGGTGTGTATCAGAAACGTCATATTCCTCTACCAAATAAAAACCTTCTCTTCCATTTCTAAGCATTGTACATATAAGTTTCATATCTCGAGAGATTGCAAGATCATTCAATATGTAAGGGCCCTTGAAAGAGGTCTGCAGAAAGTTGTATAGAACATATCGAATACTAAGTCTAGACTACTTCACTGACAATACTTGAATGCATAATGCTAGAGAAGACAGTGTTATGGATATGGCGTTGTAGGCTTTAATATTTCATATATCTTGCTCATAAATACGTTCAAAATAAGAAGGTATTGAATGATTACCAATTTGAAAACTGTCCATAAAGATCAAAGGACAAAAATATGAACAAATACAGGTCATTGTATATAGTCTTCAACGATGAGCAAATCCCATACCGTGTAGAAAGGTATACAAGTCCCTCGCATGTCAAAATGTGAAACAGTTGAAAAAAGAAAAGCAACGGCCTGAGTTTTCCTACAACAATAAACGAAAAACTATAATGACAGATAGCAAACCAACAACCACTGAATCTAACCCTATTTTGTCGTTTGGTTGCTGTCTCATTACCGTATATGCCAAAATCTCCGTTTGTTCATCTATCGATAAGACATTACAAAATTAATTTAGTGACATTTTTATTTAAAACTAATTAATTCTATTTCGGCACTTTTTGATTTGATGCTACAGCGCCCTAAGTATAACAAACAATGTTCTGTACAAATGAAGAAAAAATAATAAATAAATAAGCACAAGATATAACAAGTTCAAAACCTATACACTTGCGGCGATAACTTGTTTAAGACAAAATAAACAAAGACAGACAAAATAAACTTTGCTCTTTAGAAAAACGCACGGATAATCTTGACGAAGGATGCATTTTTTACTGACTGACACATTTCTGTTACGTTACGGTGAAATATTGTCTGAAATGATTGTAAAAAGAAATTGTGTAGATTTCGTTTATTAAGACAGTTTTAGAGGTCAAAACTTGTCTCGTTTACTTTGCGTTTTAATCATCAATCAAATCAGTAAAGTAACATTAAGTCAATAAACAAATATAAACAGAGATACTTTTAGGTCAATAATGGGAAGAAAATGAAAGGTGTAGAGTTGAATATTAAGAAAGGTTATTAATCGAAGATTACATTGTCCGATTTTTGAATTTCAGGATTACTGAATGTTGATTTTTTGTATCTGACCGATTATAAACTCTAGTATCATATCAGAATATTTACAAAATGCTGGAAATAAATTAAAACGCATTTACTACAAACGCTACACAAGATAATACTAATTATCGGTTTGTTGTATGAATGCTTAATCAAATTGCTCTGTAATTTTCACTTTGCATAATTATATATATAAAGAATTTCAATAAACTGAGCAGACAAAAAAAAAGAGGACACTCTTACTATTGTGAATTTCAATATTTAGATACTTTATCCAGAATCCACACAATCCTTGCTTGAGATACCACTTGGTTAAGTCATTTTGTTTTTCGTTGCTGATGTAAAACGTTTTAACAACTATATGGCTATGAAGAACTTGATCGTTTTGACATGCTCCTTCTTGTTGTCCTGGTATTACTCATGCAAACTGGATCAAGGCTACATTGTCTTTTGATTAACCCAAGTCCCACTCTATCTAAAGGTCGTTTCACAAGTCCCATGCCAACTCTATCGAAAGGACGTTTCACGAGGCCCATGCCTACTTTATCAAATGGCTTCTTGACCAGACCCATTCCTACTTTATCAAAAGGCTTCTTTACTAGTCCCATTCCAACTTTATCAAAAGGTCTTTTCACTAATCCCATTCCAACTTTATCAAACGGTCTCTTTACCAATCCCATTCCAACTCTATCGAATGGTCGCTTTACTAATCCCATTCCAACTCTGTCGAATGGTCGCTTTACTAAACCCATTCCAACTCTGTCGAATGGTCGTTTCACTAATCCCATTCCTACTCTGTCGAACGGTCGTTTCACTAATCCCATTCCAACTCTGTCAAACGGTCGCTTCACTAATCCCATTCCTACTCTGTCGAATGGCCGTTTTACTAATCCCATTCCAACTCTGTCGAACGGTCGCTTCACTAATCCCATTCCTACTCTGTCGAATGGTCGTTTAACTAATCCCATTCCTACTCTGTCGAACGGTCGTTTCACTAATCCCATTCCAACTTTGTCGAATGGTCGCTTTACTAATCCCATTCCTACTCTATCGAACGGTCGTTTCACTAATCCCATTCCAACTTTGTCGAAAGGCCTTTTAACTAATCCCATTCCAACTTTGTCGAATGGTCGCTTTACCAAACCCATTCCAACCTTATCAAATGGTCGTTTCCGTATCAAACCCATTCCTATTCTATCAAGTGGTCTTTTTCGTATTAACCCTGATCCAACTTTATCGAGGCGTTTTTCGTCATTGTCTGGTAAATATTCTAAAAAATTTGGATAGACTTCACCGACAGTATCACCGTCGTTATATCTTTTAATTAGTCCACTACCAATACGATCAATGTAACGCTTTTCCTCTTCAATTTGGTCATCTTCTGTATTTTGATCGTCTTGACTTTGGGCATTTAGTAAACTGAAAACAGGAATAAAGATAAAATATTAATGTTTATCTTTCCGATTTTCTATTTTTAATGAAAGTTTTCGTAATAAAATTAACACTGGTTCGTGGAATTGGAAGAGTGAAAAATCTAATAAGTACTGTTAATATAAATTGTTTTTTTAGTCATTGATACTAGGTAGTAGGTAGTAAGGATACCGATTTGATATTTGTGATCACAGAGTACTGCATCATCAACTATTGGGTGGATGATGGTTGGGGAAAAAAGCGGATGTTATAGATATATGATACACGTTATACTCATCCTATTGGTGACTCCAAATACAACGCATAAAGAGATGATTTCCGACAGGTTAAAAAAACTCCCTTTTTGATAGGCTATTTTTGTAAATACGAGAAACCTTTAGAACTTGTCTGAACTTCGCGCACCTAAAGCTACGCATATCACTGCTTTGAGCATAAAAATATATTTGTACGAGCAAGAACGAATTCAAAACAGGAAAAGATGCTGAAATAATATAGTAATGTTATTCAAAATATCAGTTTAACTGAAATTATTAAAATGTGATTTATGCCCCTAAAAGCCTGTGCCTTCAGTATCGTATCTTTTAACCCTATCATTTCTGATCGTATATCTTGAAGTGATGCGTGAAGTGCAATGTTGCTTGCTCTTTTGTTCATCTTGTTTCACAGCTTCGTCTGTGATGTTTTTTTCCAGAAAATGGATTATAAAGAAATGCCGTCCATTTCGTATTGTTTTTTAATGAGTAAAAGAGAAGTTGGTAAAGTTAAATCTGACAGCAACCGAAAATTGATAAAACCAAGAAAGACAATCATATATACGTCAACATTCAACGATAAAAAAAGTGTACATACTATGTACAAAAGCTCTAAATCATCTCGGTTCAGGACAGATTGTATATGAATAAACAGAGATGGAAGAACAAACAACACATTGTTTGAATACGTCATAGTCGGAAATTTTCGCAATATTTAAAAAATCTATCTATTAAAAAATGATCAGAAATATAGCTTATATCTATTCTAATGTTAATTGGACAAAAATAAATTCGGAAGCAAAGACAGCCACTTACGATAGCCTTAAATTGACACTGACACAATACACGTGGCTGGTTATATACAAATCTTACACGTATTCAACCTTCCCCTTCGATCACGAACAAAACGCACAGTAAAAAGTTACCATAGTTATCAGTCAAGGAACTAGCTTATTCCTCAACAAAAACCGTGTTACATATGACAAAATAACAGATGCAATATCTTAAGAAAGTTCTATATAATAAGAAAGTTCTATATAATAGCGTGTCAAAGTATTCATGCAGATACTGAAGGCAAGATCAAAGAACTCATAATATATTAATCATGCCTACTTTCACTAAAATATCGACCACTGTACTTATAAAAAGATTTCATAAGGGAAAGGTCGTAAATAATGCTGGAATCACGAGGTTGAACCTATAACATTTTTTCCCACAAAAGTACATGTCAAAAGAATAAAAAACGGAAGAAAATGTTAAGTATCATTCAAACCATAAATGAGCAAATCGTAGTAATATTAGTAAAATAAGAACATCAAACTCAGTTATTTAAATATACCAACGTTATGTAGCCTTTTTCAATCAGGCTTTAAAAATGATATTTTAAGCAAGTCTACATGGCATTAGACACCAAATATTATTGCAAGTTTTATTGGCAGTATTGTAAATGAATAACAGGTATTTATTGAACTAAATACAGAAGTACATTACTGATGGTCAACAACACTTAAGGTGTCTATCGCTAATTGCATATAATCGGATGACCACTTCCGAACTGCTTAATTGGTAAATTCTATATTAAGTGATTAATTTGTTTATGGTCTGAAGAACATAAAAACGTAGAATGTAACTGCACTTGAGAATTGTTTATGAATGTTGTGTAAGGTGAAGAAAAAACTGTGATTTTGTATAACCTTATTTTGTTTTGCTGTTTGACAAGACAGAAAATGCAGAGGAAATACCCGCACAACAATATTTAAGCCCTAAAATTCAAATCATACTAATAATAATGTACCAAATTAGCGGTTATTATAACATTTTAAACACATTTCAGTATTCAAATATTTCTTCCACTTAAAGTTCATTTATACAAGTCTTAATTGTATGCAGAAGAAAACCACTCATTGATATTTTCCTCTGGGTGTGATCTTTAGAAAACATTGGTCGATTATTCCCCCTTTATAATAATATTTATAACAATAATACTAGAATTTCTCAAGATAATCGGCTATTCAAAATTTGTGACAAACGGGATGACTTTTCCTTAAAAAGTTTATTAAACTTCAATTTTCTTTCCTTGATATTGTTCCTTTAGTATCTTTATATATAGTGTACATTTCTGTATTGTTTTGATGTGTGCGTGCCGGCAGTGATGTCTCCGACGTCAACGAACGCCGGTCAAATAACATAAATTGGTCAAACAGTTTACTTAATGTTAGCAAAATTGAATTAATTTTAGTGGAAGTATGACCACACTTGCAGAATTTAATAACAAGTGGTAGTCACTCTGAAAATTCTATGATTTATTTTTATTTATGAAGCAAATTGCCCTTAAATCGTCTCTTAAAATATTAGTTGACTTATTAAAAAGGATTATAATGAAACTGCTGTTGTTATGTAACTGTGTATTTTTTAGTCATTTCAATTCGCTCATTTACAATTAATGGGAGGTTAAGCTAGCTATAAAACCAGGTTTAAACCACAATTTTCGTCGTAAAATACCTGTACCAAGTCAGGAATATGGCAGTTGTTTTTCACTTGTTCCGTTGATTGATAGCACTTGTTTTTTCCCCAGTTTTTATGGACTTCCCCTTTTTGAATTTGCCTAAGAATTCTGTATTTTTGTTATACAGTTTGAAAAATGACTTACATGTTTGTTTTGTCTTGTAATTTTGAACAAGTTTGTTTTGGACATTGCGCCTAACTGTGTCTTCATGCATTGATCATGACTTTGATATATGAAATTATCTCCAAAGTACAGCAGCAATATTTAAGTACTTTCTCCTAAGCACTTCTGATTAAAGGGGGAGTATAGTGGTCATGTAACTAAATTAAACCTGGATATGTTCATGAGCCTGTCCAAGCCAGGAACATCGTCAGTTGATGTCTTATGTAAATATCTTAATGACTTTTCCCTTTTTCCTTTAAGGTATTGTATGTTTTATATTAGCAGCTCTTCAACAGTTGGTAGTTTTTTTTATGTATACAGATATTCTAGATTCGATCTATTCAGAGCTTTGACGCATATCATACATACATTTGTCTATAGTTACAGTTAGTTAATATTTTTTTTTGTAATTTTTGTTAGTCGTTCTCAACCTGGGTTGCTGCCTCGAGCTCATTGACTTATACCCACATTTTTTATTCCTATACATGTATAAGATATATGTACAAGATTTAATTGAATTTTAAAGGGGACCAGTTTCAATTCTACATTAAAAGAAAGCTTTATGTTACTTATGTTTCTTAGATTAATAAATTATGTTTCTTATTTAGATGCATGTAACTACTAGTATCGAAAACAGATAAAAGGGAAGGTAAAATATTGTGAGCGAAAACCAAGATATTTAAAAAGACTCATCAAAAGGACAATCTTACATTTTTTTTTATTTAGGCTGAGGATTCCAAGCCGACAGGGAAATTTATGTAAGATGCCATTTGTACAGTCGGAAAGTTTATATACATCGAACATAAGCAGCATCTAGTCTTTGCATACATTTTTGTTTATTTGTGTGGTCTATACAATGTGATTTCATTTGGTTTGACGATGAAAAGGCTTTTAGAAATAGAATGAGAATAAAAGAAGATACCGAAAACAAGTAGTAATAACGTGTATTTAATGTAGCTCAATATCTAGTGGTTAGTCAACCAATTATCACTTTTTTTCAGAATAACGTCAACACAGCTATAACATCATTACTAAAGGCACAAAAGAATGATATATTATGGAACGCCACAGCTGTCTTATGTGGAATATTATGGATAGCTAGTCACGATTAATCATTTGCGCAAGGTACTGTGGATTTACAATATATAATGTATAATACACGTATACTATAGTATAAATTCAATCATAAAAAATTATAATGTTGATATATTTATGTAGATAAACGTTCGAGGTACAAAACTACAGTAAATGCTAAGCAATTTCAAAGCTTTTACAATCAGTCTAAAAGTTTTTCAACATTACGAGACCCACTTTCAGGATCTTAAATATGTGTCATAAAGTTAAAGGATGAAATTCGGTTAATCATATCAAATCAATTTGGTTGTAAATATAAAAAAAACCGCTTATCAGTAGTTGAAAATAAATAATGGCAAACTCCAAGAAATACAGTTCACATATGAAAGTGAATGGAATAGAAAAATTAAATCGGATCGTCGTAAACCGGAGTTCTTCTGAAACAATGTACTATAAAGTTAACTGAACAATGCATATTGGAATAGATCTTTTTCATCTTAATTAAAATCCACTTAAATTTGACTGAAGTATTCTTCTCTTAACAAATGCATCTTCATTCTACAGATTTTAATTTGAAGAAGATGTCAACATTTGTGTAATTAGTTATTTCCATTACGGGAGTTTGCTTTCACCAACAAATGGAATTGACATTTTATTAACAGAAACGTGTAACCTCAGCACAAAGGCACTAAATAATATTTCTCTTGAACCTGATTGTTTCATAAATGACTTACAAATTCATAGTTACTTTGAAAATTATATTTTCAGGATACTGAACTAGAAAAAAATACGCTTTATCAAATTCTTTAAATCTTAATTTATTTCAACATTTTATGAATAAACAATACTAGATTGATAAAGCCATTTCCCGAAAAGCATCAAATTTCATTGAAAACTTCATTTCTTGGGTCTTTAATTGCTTTTAGAGATTTTAGAATGGATAAAAAAATGAACGTGTAGATCGGTTTGCTCTTAGATTTTAATTCTTGCCCTTT